AAAGAGAAAACTGGATCGAATATCTGTGATAGAGGTGCAGGAGAGAATGCGTAAACTCAGCCATTGTGTGCTTTAAGAAGATCGGGGACTACTGACTTAGGGAAATGAACTACCGATTAGTTCCAGGAATTGCCTTTTCCCTGTCTCTCCTTAGAAATATAACGTCAAAGATAAGTTGTTGTTTTTTTAATGATAACAATAACATCTGTTTGCCTTTGATATTTGTATCGGAAGTATTTCTCTCTCTCTCTCTCTTTCATTGGCCTAGCTCAAAATGACAGAAAAATGCCATTTTATTCGAAAATCGCAATATTTCAGTTTTCATTGATAAAAATCCATATTTTCACTTTTGAGTTGTTTTTATTGATACAGGCATTTCATTTCTTAGATTATGAAATGACAATTACTTAACTGAATATCTGTTAACTCATCCAAACCTCAGTGTCATGTTTCTTTTTTTAATCGAGGCAATAGCTGCTTTTGAGTTTTTATATTTTACGAGTCATTAGAACATGCATAATAACTGCACATTCAGTTCATTACTTATAAGGCAAGAAGAGAGAAATACTAAGGACACACTTGGGCGGAGCCTCATGACGTCACCGTTCACGAAGTATATATAGCAGACGCATCGCAGTGTCCAGTAGAACGACACACCCGGTAGAAAAATGAAGGCTCTGGTAAGAATGGGAATATTCCAATCACAAAGTGTTTGAAACAAGTGTGAAAAGGGTTTTGGTGAATATAACAAGAAAAGGAAACATTTCCACAGTTCACTTTCTGAACCAAGGAAGTGGCTCATATCTAGCATTGCTGCTGACGGGTCATTATATTTCTTATATTGCTCAAATCTATGTTAAAGGGGAATTTTTCGTTGTATGCAGCATAAAAGAGGAAATCGTGTCAGTCGAACTGTCAACTAACTGGTGTGTACATATATTCTTGTTTTTCGTAAATTATTTAAATGTCCTTTTTTTTTTTTTTTTAATAGGTGATTCTGGTCGCTGTATCCTGTTGCTCAGCACAGCTGGTGCTGCCGTACACGGCGCCCTGGGTGCTGCCTCAAGCGAAGCTGATCACTACTCCTGATGTCAAGACCGACCTTAAGACCGTCTCTTTGGTCTCCCCTTACACCCACCCCTTCGGACATCCCTTCGTGGCTTCCCCCTATGCCTTCCACCACGCTGCCTACCCCTATGGAGCTTACCCCTACATCCTCAACGCCGATGATACTCTCAAGGCTACAGAGTTCCCTTACATTTACCAAAAGCAAGAACAGGAGCCAGCTGTAGAAGAGGCTCGTCGTCGTCGCCGCGACGTCCAGATCCCCCTCCCATACCTCCACGCCGTGCCCACCGTCACCAAGCACACTGTGGAGACCAAGCAGTTCGAGCCCATCGACGCCAACACCCCCGCCGACACCACCAAGATCGAACTCACCACCAAGGAGCACGAGATCTCCGTGCCTGCCGTCAAGTACGTGCAGCCCGTGGTCAACGTCAAGCCCGTCACCTACACTGCTCTCTCCCACGCCGTCCTTCCCTACGCCCATGGCCTTCCTTACACCCAAGCCCTTCCCTACGCCCACGCTCTTCCATATGCCCACTATCCTGGCCTCGTCGGCGCCCCCGTCATCAAGCTTGATGAGGAGTAACTCCAACTTTCCTGTCCTCCTTAATCTTCCTCACAAAAAAACGACACTTTTGGATGGAAACTCATCTATTGGATTCGTGTTTGAATCAAACATCCACGATGTGTTTACCAATCTGAGTGAAATGAAAGAAAATAAAGTTCAGATAACAGTTCCCGAAAATGATAAATAAAAAAGTATGTTGAAAATTACAAATAGTCAAAAACAAAGAATATCATCTAACAAAATAGGTATGTATGTGATGAAACGTACATCCAAAATCATCATTTTTTAAAATAAAATAATTAAAATCACATGAAATATCTTTATTCTATTCCCTAGAAAAGTTCTCTAGCAAATACTCTTGACTTGAAATCTATATGGAATTCTTACAAACTGAAATAATCTCACGATAAATGCTACATGAAAACGTTATATAAAAAAATATACCCTATATCCTTTCTTACAGAATAATTTGGGTCAGTTTTACCCTCTATCTTCATTCTTATCCGTATATTACTACAAGACTATAAGCATAATTCTGAATGGTAGAAAAAAACACAATTTACAAACGAAATTTATTGAAAAATGAGAAACTAGTTTAGATACCCTCCTGGATTTAATGTTCAGGTTTCGTTTCTACAATGTTTTGTTTTATCATTTGCACAATTCTATTGGATATAATAACATTTATCAATAGTTACTAATATTTACACAATACATATAGAATAACAGGACTTCGACTTATACTCATTAAATACATAACATCGGCTTCTTGTAACCACTATTGACTTTTGATTCAGATTTGCGTTGAACCCTCCTCCTTTCACAGGTAATTTCACCACCACCCCTCTAGTTCCTTCAATTGCTTTCTCCCTACCTCTCTTTAGAAATATAACGTCTGAATAAATGTGTGATACCAAACATAACAATAGCGAGAATTATTGTTTTAAAAAACAACTTCAAATAAATGTATATGACTTTGACGCTTTTATCGGAAGTATGAAATCGATTTTGTCTTCTTGCTATCTTTCATGAGGCTGGCCCAGAATGTCCGAAAAACACATTTTTTGACGAAAATCGAATTTTCACTTTTAAGCTGCTCTTTCTAATGTATGTAGTTACCTTTTCACTAAACTTCAATATCACGTTTACTCAGGAGAGAACAGATCGACTTTCAAAGCAATCGTTGCTCGTGAGTTCTTGCAGAGGTTTATGAAAGTCATTAGAACATGACTGATAACAAATGTAAGACGAAAAGAAATGCCCTGAAGGACACACTTGAACGTGGTCTCGTGACATCATCGTCCACGAAATATATATAGCAGTCCGAAGTATATATAACAGTTCGAGCCGATCGACGCCAACACCCCCGCCGACACCACCGAGATCCAGCTCACCACCAAGCAGCCCGTAGTCAACGTCAAGCCCGTCACCTACACTGCTCTCCTACACTGCTCCCACGCCGTCCTTCCCTACGTCCACGCTCTTCCATACGACCACTATCCTAGCCTCGTCGGCGCCCCCGTCATCAAGCTTGGCGAGGATTAACTCCAACTTTCCTGTCTTCCTTAATCTTCCTCACAAAAAACGACACTGATGGAAACTCATCTATTGGATTCGTGTTTGAATCAAACATACACGGTGTGTTTACCAATCTTGAGTGAAATGAAAGAAAATAAAGTTGAGATAACAATTCCCGAAAATGATTAAAAAAAAAAAAAAATTGTGGAAAATTACAAATAGTCAAGAACAAATCAGAATATCATCTAACAAAAAAGATGTATATATGATGAGAAGTACATCCAAAACCATCAACCTTTTTCGAAATAAAATTAAAATCACATGAAATATCTATCCTTTTCCCTAAAAAAGTTCTCTGGCATATACTCTTGACTTAAAATCTATATGAAATTCTTACAAATTGAAATAATCTCTCGATAAATGCTACATGAAAACGCTATATAAAAGATATACCCTATATCCCTTTCTTACAGAAAAAATCTGTCATTTTTACCATTTATTTTCATTGTTATCCGCATATTGCTACAAAACTATATGCATATTTGAATAGTAGAAAAAAACACAATTTACAAACGAAATTTATTAGAAAGGAGAAACTAGTTTAGGTATCCTCTTGGATTTAATCTTCAGGTCTCGTTTCTACAATGTTGTTTTTTAATCATTTGCACAATTCTATTGGAAATAATAACATTTATCAACAGTTGCCAATATTTACACAATACATATAAAATAACAAGACTTCGACCTATACTTATTAAATACATAACATCGGCTTCTTGTAACTACTATTTACTATTGACTTTTGATTCAAATTTATGTATTGAACCCTCCTCCCTTGTGCGCACGACCCTAAGGTGTAAACATATTATGAGTATATGAGTTTCTCAAACTCATTAGTTTGTGTATACTGCATATATATGTATACATGTGGATGTATACATGTATATACATAGTTATAGACATTGATATAGAAAGATTACTATGTGATTTACCTATCCATTCTTCCTGAATCATTCTTGAAACCTGTTTGGATGTATGTGTGCTGTGTCTGAAACTCAACTGCTAAAATAAGACTGACCAATAAACAACTCGATATTCTAATTTCCATATTTTTTTAAAATCTTTAAAACGTATTTGAAGTAACAGGTTCCTCATTACACATTACGGAAATCATCTACGCCTTCCACATCCTATCTGAAATACGTAAGTCTGGAGGAAAATAGTACGATATCTACTGATTAAACATATATATATAAACTCGTGGCGTGTATCCAAAACGATTATAAAATTTCACACTAATCCTTTCACAGGTAATTTCACCCCCCCCCCCCCCCCACCACCACCACCAATCAGTTCCTTCAATTGCTTTCTCCCTCTCTTTAGAAATATGTCTGAATAAATGTGTGATAGCAATGATAAGAATAGCTAGAATTTTTGTTTTGATAACAACTTCAAATAAATGTATTTGACTTTGACGCTTTTATTGGAAGTATGAAATCGGTTTTGTCTTCTTGCTCTCTTCCATGGGATTTGCCCAGAATAACCGAAAAACACCTAGTTTATTTAACGAAAATCTCTTTTTTTTTTTTTTTTTTTTTTACTTTTAAGCTGCTTTTACTAATATATGTAGATACCTGTTAACTAAACTTTAATATTACGTTTACTCAGGAAAGAACAGATCGACTTTCAAAGCAATCGCTGCTCGTGATAACAAATGTACATTCAGTTTATTAAATCGTAAGACGAAAAGAAATGCCCTGGAGGACACACTTGGGCGTGGCCTCGTGACGTCATCGTCCACGAAGTATATATAGCAGAGGTATCGCAGTGTCCAGGAGAAGGACACATTCGCTCGAAAGATGAAGGCTCTGGTAAGAATAGGAATATTCCAATCACAAAGTTCATTTTCGATATTCAAATTTACTTCTGAATATAAGGGAGAAAAAGATTGCTTATATGTAGTATAAAAAAAAACGTGTCAGTCGATCTGAGAACTGAACGGTGTATATATATAGTAAACTAAATTATTCTTGTTTTTCCAAAGGCATTATTTGAGCGTAGCGCTTGTCGTATACACAATGTTTTTTTTTTTTTTCCCCAATAGGTGATTCTGGTCGCTGTATCCTGTTGCTCAGCACAGCTGGTGCTGCCGTACACGGCGCCCTGGGTGCTGCCTCAAGCGAAGCTGATCACTACCCCTGATGTCAAGACTGACCTCAAGACCGTTCCTTTGGTCTCCCCTTACGCCCATCCCTTCGGACATCCCTTCGTGGCTTCCCCCTATGCCTTCCACCACGCTGCCTACCCCTATGGAGCTTACCCCTACATCCTCAACGCCGACGATACTCTCAAGGCCACAGAGTTCCCTTACATTTACCAAAAGCAAGAGCCAACTGTAGAAGAGCCACGTCGTCGTCGCCGCGATGTCCAGATCCCCCTCCCATACCTTCACGCCGTGCCCACCGTCACCAAGCACACTGTGGAGACCAAGCAGTTCGAGCCCATCGACGCCAACACCCCCGCCGACACCACCAAGATCGAACTCACCACCAAGGAACACGAGATCTCCGTGCCCGCCGTCAAGTACGTGCAGCCCGTGATCAACGTCAAGCCCGTCACCTACACTGCTCTCTCCCACACTGTCCTTCCCTACGCCCACGCCTTTCCTTACACCCACGCCCTTCCATACGCCCACGCTCTTCCATACGCCCACTATTCTGGCCTCGTCGGCGCCCCCGTCATCAAGCTTGACGAGGAGTAACTCCAACTTTCCTGTCCTCCTTTATCTTCCTCACAAAAAAAACGATTCTTATGGAAACTCATCTGTTGGATTCGTGTTTGAATCAAACATACACGATGTGTTTACTAATCTGAGTGAATTGAAAGAAAATAAGTTCAGATAACAGTTCCCGAAAATGATAAATAAAAAAAAATGTTGAAAATTACAAAAAGTCAAGAACAAAGAATATCATCTAACAAAAAAGGTGTGTATGTGACGAGACGTACATCCAAAACATCAACCTTTTTCGAAATAAAATCCTTAAAATCACATGAAATATCTTTATCCTCTTTCCTGAAAATGTTCTCTGGCAAATACTCTTGATTTAATATCCATATGAAATTTTTACAAATTGAAATAATATCAGTAAATGGTTGACGGAAACGTTATAAAAATACCCCATACCCATTTCCTACTGAATAGTTTGTGCATTTTTACCCTTTTCATGTTATCCGCATATTACTACAAAACTATTAGCATAATTCTTAGTGGTAGAAAAACCCACAATTTACAAATGAAATTTATTTTAGAATGAGAAATTAGTTTAGGTATCCTCTTGGATTTCTACAATGTTTTCATATCCAAAACGATTATAGATTTTCACACCAATCCTTTTACAGGTAATTTGACACCCCCCTCTCCAGTTCCTTCAATTGCTTTCTCCTTATCTCTCTTTAGAAATATAACGTCTGATTAATGTGTGATAGCAATGATAACAATAGATAGAATTACTGTTTTAAATGATAACAATAACTTGAAATAAATGTGTTTGACTTTGACGTTTTTATCGGAGATATGAATTTGATTTTTTCTTCTTGCTCTCTTTCATGTGGTTGGCTCATAATGTCGGAAAACACCATTTTATTCGACGAAAATCCATATTTTCACTTATAAGCTGCTTTTACTAATGTAAGAAGTTGTTTCCATAAATTATGAGGTCACGAGATGGCAAATACTTCATTCATGAAGTAATAAACTTAATAAACTTTATTAAACTTAATAAACTTCAATATCATGTTTACTCAGGAGAGCACAGATCAATATTCTATGCAATCGCTGCTCGTGAATTCTTACAGGGGCTTATGATAGTCATTGGAGCATGATTGATAACAAATGTACATTATTACATCGTGAATATATATGTTTCCGAAACTTATTAGAGTGTATATTTTACATATATATATACATTTGTATAAATACGTATATATACACATGTATATAGATGGATATAGACAAGGACATGGATATAGACGTGATATACTACGTGATTTACATATCCATTCTTCATGAATGATTCCTCAGAACTGCCTGGATGTATGTATTACTCTCTGATCCTCAGCTGCTAAAATAAGATTGAGAAACAACTAGATATATTAAAATTTTCATTTTCAAAGAAATCTTTAAAACTCGCATTTGAAAGTTACAGGTTCCTCATCACAGCTCTTCACATCCTATTCATATTACTTAAAAGCTTGGAAGGAAATAATACTATTACAAGTGATTTGATCTCCCTCTCCTCCCTTTTTCTATCTTTGGGAAGTGGAGAGGGGTTAATTGCGCAAAACGTGGGAGGGTTATAACGCGAAGCAGAGTTGAAATCTCAGAATCAGTGAACTGAAATATCATCTGGCACACTGGCGACCTGGCTGCCCTCATAGTAAAGAGAAAACTGGATCGAATATCTGTGATAGAGGTGCAGCAGAGAATGCGTAAACTCAGCCATTGTGTGCTTTAAGAAGATCGGGGACTACTGACTTAGGGAAATGAACTATCGATCAGTTCCGGGAATTGCCTTTTCCCAGTCTCTCCTCAGAAATATAACGTCTGCGTAAAAGTGTGGTTGCAGAGATAATAGTTTAAAAATTTGGTTTTAAACAATAACAATAACTTGATTTCTCTGTTTGCCTCTGATATTTGTATCGGAAGTATTTCTCTCTCTTCCATTGGCCAAGCTGAAAATGACAGAAAAATGCGTTTATTCGAAAATCGCAATATTTCAGTTTGCATTAATAAAAATCCATATTTTCACTTTTGAGCTTTTTTTATTGATACAGGCATTTCATTCCATAGATTATCAGATGACAATTACTTATTTGAATACTTTTTAATTCATCCAAACTTCAGTATCATATTTCTCTAGGAGGAATCATTTTCTTTTTTTTTAATCGAGGCAATAGCTGCTTTTGAGTTTTTTTTATATTTTACAAGTCATTAGAACATGCATAATAACTGCACATTCAGTTCATTACTTATAAGGCAAGAAGAGAGAAATACCCTGAAGGACACACTTGGGCGGAGCCTCATGACGTCACCGTTCACGAAGTATATATAGCAGACGCATCGCAGTGTCCAGTAGAACGACACACCCGGTAGAAAAATGAAGGCTCTGGTAAGAATGGGAATATTCCAATCACAAAGTGTTTGAAACAAGTGTGAAAAGGGTTTTGGTGAATATAACAAGAAAAGGAAACATTTCCACAGTTCACTTTCTGAACCAAGGAAGTGGCTCATATCTAGCATTACTGCTGACGGGTCATTATATTTCTTATATTGCTCAAATCTATGTTAAAGGGGAATTTTTCGTTGTATGCAGCATAAAAGAGGAAATCGTGTCAGTCGAACTGTCAACTAACTGGTGTGTACATGTATATATTCTTGTTTTTCGTAAATTATTTAAATGTGCTTTCTTTTCTCTTTTTTAATAGGTGATTCTGGTCGCTGTATCCTGTTGCTCAGCACAGCTGGTGCTGCCGTACGCGGCGCCCTGGGTGCTGCCTCAAGCGAAGCTGATCACTACTCCTGATGTCAAGACTGACCTCAAGACCGTTCCTTTGGTCTCCCCTTACGCCCATCCCTTCGGACATCCCTTCGTGGCTTCCCCCTATGCCTTCCACCACGCTGCCTACCCCTATGGAGCTTACCCCTACATCCTCAACGCCGACGATACTCTCAAGGCCACAGAGTTCCCTTACATTTACCAAAAGCCAGAACAGGAACCAGCTGTACAAGAGGCTCGTCGTCGTCGTCGCGACGTCCAGATCCCCCTCCCATACCTTCACGCCGTGCCCACCGTCACCAAGCACACTGTGGAGACCAAGCAGTTCGAGCCGATCGACGCCAACACGCCCGCCGACACTACCAAGATCGAACTCACCACCAAGGAGCACGATATCTCCGTGCCCGCTGTCAAGTACGTGCAGCCCGTGGTCAACGTCAAGCCCGTCACCTACACTGCTCTCTCCCACGCCGTTCTTCCCTACGCCCATGGCCTTCCTTATACCCACGCCCTTCCTTACACCCACACCCTTCCCTACGCCCACGCTCTTCCATACGCCCACTATCCTGGCCTTGTCGGCGCCCCCGTCATCAAGCTTGACGAGGAGTAACTCCAACTTTTCTGTCGTCCTTAATCTTCCTAAAAAAAACGACACTTTCTGATGGAAACTCATCTGTTGGATTCGTGTTTGAATCAAATATACACGATGTGTTTACCAATCTGAGTGAAATGAAAGAAAATAAAGTTCAGATAACAGTTCCCGAAAATGATATATAAAAGATCTATTGAAATTTACAATGAAAAACAAATCAGAATATCTAACGAAGAGGTGTTTATGATGTTACGTAGATCCAAAACCATTAACCTTCTCTTTCGAAATAAACTCATTGAAATCACATGAAATATCATTAACCCATTCCCTGAAAACGCACTTTGGCAAATTGCAGGAATCTCACAGTAAATGATTATAATACCCCGAATCCCTTTCCTACAGAATAGTTTGAGGTTTTAGAATTTATTTTTATTATCATCCACATATTGCTACACAAAAGTTAGCAAAATTCTGAATGGCAGAAAAAAAACACAATGCACAAATGACATGTATTGAAAAGTGACACAACAGTTTCGGTATCCTTCTGAATGTAATCTTCAGGTCTAGTTTGTGCTATGTGTTTTTCTCTATCATGTGCATACTTGTTGGGAATAACATTTATTAACAATTAATCAGTGTTTAAATAATAATACGTACAGAATAACATGACGCGTAAAATACATACCATCGGCATCTTTGACTTTCTATTCAAATTTGTGTACACAACGCTAAGGCTTCACAAATGCATTGGTGTGTATATACACATACATATATATAAATAGGTACAGACAGATATGGATATTGACAGATCTGCGTAATTTACCAATTGATTCTTCTCGAATGATTCATGAGACCTCCTCCACTCCCCAAAACAAAGAATTGGTGTGAAAATCTATGAATATGAATGTTTGCAGACGGACATAAGTCACGAGTTTTTATTTTTATTTTTTATCAGTACGTATCGTACGATTTTCTTCCAAACTTTTAAGAATTATATATAGGATGTGAAGAGCTTAACTGATTTCCATTATCTGTAATGAGGAACATGTAACTTCAAAAGTTCACATACAGGTCTCACGAATCATTCAGGAAGAATGGATAGGTAAATCACGTAGGGATTTGTCTATATGTATACCTATCTAAATACATGTATTTGTATATATGTATATATAAAACGTATGCAGTATATACACACACTCATGAGTTTGTGAAGCATATACACTCATAGTTTATATTGACACTCACTTTAGGGTCATTCAGTGAGAAAAGTTCAACACATAAATTTGAAACAAAAGTCAAAAGTAAATAACGGATACAGGAAGCCGATGTTATGTATTTAATGTGTGTGGCTCGAAATCATGTTATTCTATATGCACCGTGTAAATATTAATCACTGTTGTTAAATGTTATGACTTCCAACAGAATCATGTAGATAAAAAAAAACATTGTTTTTTTATGAGACCTGATGATTAAATCCAGGATACTGAAACGTCTCACTTCTGAATAAATCTCGTTTGTGCATTGTGGGTTTATCTACCATTCAGAATTATGCTATTTTCTGTACCAATATGTTGATAACAATGTAAATCAGGAGTAAAGAAAACACAAAACATCTCTAGATTTACTGTGAGATTATTTCAATTTGTAATTCCAATATTTGCCAGAATACATTTCCAGGGAATAGGATAAGGATATGTCATGTAATATTAATTATTCTATTTTGAAAAAAAAAAAATATATGGTTTTGGATCTATGTACCATAGGGGAAAGTGGGGTAAGATGAGCCACTTTTCAGATTTTTTTACCTAGAACCCTTATCATTTAAACCAGTTGGTCTCTCTCTGCATTAATTTCTATATTAGCTATTTGCCTCTCAACATGGGAAAAATGTCTTTTATCTGCATACATTTTCGACATTTTTTTTACTTCAAAGGTTTTTCAAAAAGGTTCATCTTACCCCTACTTTTCGGGGTAAGATGAACCGCATCATAAGATAAGAGAATGAAAAGAAATTCTTCTTAAAATCAGGAGATATTTCAAAATTTTATTAGCAAGTATACTTCAATCCTTCCTTTAAGCGAAATTAAGATCTAAACATAACGATTAATGTCCAATAATGCCCATTACTAGAGTTATGACAAATTAAATCTTTTTAAGTCACAGGGGAAAACTAGCTGGTTTGATTTACGTAGACTTTTGGGGGGCTGGTAGAACCTTCAATACATCTTGCTTATGGAATGATGCTTCATCACTGTGGTCAATAATAAAAGCCGGTTTCTCTTCTTCAAGCCTATGTCCTGAAGTTTTCTTCATGAAAACTCCCTCTAGCTCATTGCCATCCACAATATCAACTCTTGCGACATATCGCTGAGAGATTCCCTTTGCACTATTGATGCTTACAACGACAAAATCACCTTCCATGATCTCGTCATCCGATGAATTGTCGTCAGAATCTACGGTTACTGGCTCCATCATATCTTCTTCGTCCTCACTATCACTTAAAGCCCGACATTTCGCCACGCTAAGACCATGAAATCGATCAGATAATTCCTTGATGTGCAGTGCCAAGTCGTTCTCCATTTGAAGAGGGAATATGCGCTTGGATGCCGATAGTCTTTTGTATCCAGTTTGGATTTCATTATCTGCTTTGCCTCTAGATTTCATGATAAAACGACGCAGTGTAGCTCTGTCAATATCAAAATTGCGTGATACTTCTCTCAAACTAGCACCAGCAATGAATGCATCAGCAGCTCGTTTCATAACATCAAGGGGAACAGCAGCCCGTTGTGTCTTTCTAACATAATTTCGTGGCATCTGAAATCAAATACCACATTAAGTACAACTAGAAATTTGCAAAATAATATTAAAATGCCTGTTGGGGTAAGATGAACCATCTGTTCATCTTACCCCAATTTTAAAGGTTCATCTTACCCCACGACAACCATTTTGAATAAATTAGTTGCCAACACGGTGCTTCGAGTCGAATCGAAATGAAACATGGGCAGAAGAATAGTCAAAAAGTGAACAAGCCTTTAATAGTATAAGATGAAAATAGCACAAATACTTACCACAGTAGTAACTGTTAATTACAATTAACAATATTTCACTTTTTGGTCCAAGATAGAGTCTTTATCACATAAAAACTGATACACTGCAAATAAGAACGTGTAGCTCCGTCAGAGGCCTGTGATGATAGAAGGCCTCGGGTGGATGGCACCACAGGTTTACGAGATTTGTAATAACGTCAGCACAAGAGGTGGTTCATCTTACCCGACGGTTCATCTTACCCCAGTTTCCCCTATACACCTTTTTGTTATATGATATTCTGATTGGTTCTTCACTGTGTAATTTTCAATAGATTTTTCATTTTGCATATTCAGGAACTAATATTTTCTTTTATTTCACTCAGATTGGTAAAGATTAAGGAGGACAGGAAAGTTGGAGTTACTCCTCGTCAAGCTTGATGATGGGGGCGCCGACGAGGCCAGGATAGTGGGCGTATGGAAGAGCGTGGGCGTAGGGAAGGCCGTGGGTGTAAGGAAGGCCATGGGCGTAGGGAAGGACGGCGTGGGAGAGAGCAGTGTAGGTGACGGGCTTGACGTTGACCACGGGCTGCACGTACTTGACGGCGGGCACAGAGATCTCGTGCTCCTGTGCTCCTTGGTGGTGAGCTGGATCTTGGTGGTGTCAGCGGGGGTGTTGGCGTCGATGGGCTCGAACTGCTTGGTCTCCACAGTGTGCTTGGTGACGGTGGGCACGGCGTGAAGGTATGGGAGGGGAATCTGGACGTCGCGGCGACTATTTTTCTTTTTTACAGCTGACTCCTGTCCGACTTTGAGGCCGGGCCATAGCCGAAGGCCCGGGCGAAGCTAGAACTTCGCAAATCGCAATTGATTGATTGTGCGACTTTGGGAATAACGAAGATAGGAGAATCAGGTTGGTAGTAGGCGTATAAAGCACCATCTTCGTAGTGGTCGTCGCTGTAAACGGTTTCCAGGTTGGTCTTGACATCAGGGGTAGTGTTGAGCCATCTGTGCTGAACAACAGGATGCAGCGACCAGAATCACCTATCGGAAACAAAATACGACAAGCGCTGCGTTCAAATTATGTCTTACGAAAAACAAGAATACTGATAGCTATATATACACCGTTCAGTTCTCAGATCAACTGGCACGTCTTTTTCTTTTACTTATACCGCGTATAATCAATCATTATCATTATCAGCTTCATCATTAGCATCATTATCATTATCATTACCATCATTATAATCATCATTATCAGTATTATCAATATCTTCATTGTCATCATCTTTTACCCTTCCTTTCTTCACTTGTACATTTCTTCTTTTATCCAGTTTTTATTCAGTTGACATATATTAAATTCATTACAAAGAGCCAACAGAAAAATAGTTAATGTTAGCAGTAAGTCTAAATAGTACACTTAAAAGACAAGATAGCAATGATCATGTAACTTCAATCTTCAATATTAAGCATAAAATTGAGTCTCGCCTCTTGCACAATTTGCTTTAAAATAAGTCACTTGAATCTGATCTTTTGTCTTTACAGATTTTTTTTCGGTTTATAGAGACATGAATTGAATTAAATGTTGGAGTTATCAAAGTATTTCCTGTGTCACTTTCTCTTCTTTTATTAATGGATTTTAGATATTACAAAACTCTCATGAAGCTTTCTATTTACATGTTATCATCCATGTTTTTTTGTTGTTTTTCATAATTTCTAAATTTACAATATATTTAGTGTTTTTTGCCTTGGATGAAATAATAAAAACCACACACTAATTGTATTTCATATCTATTTAGAAAAATATATCCTCATACAAGTTCCTGAGATAATGGCAGTATTCCAGTATAATCCTGAATGTAAATTTTCAAATTAAAACATTAAATGCATTATATCTGTGAACTAATAATATTTGAAAAGACTTTTAGGCATATATAACTTATAATAGAAAATATATATCCATATAGGTAATACATCCTTAGAGACAATATACTGTGAGATCCTAAAGGGAAAATGAGAAAACATATCAATGGAAGAAAGGAGGACAAATACCAAAAAAATGTGAAAAGAAGGGAAAAATGGACAAAAAAGCAGCATGTAAATACTTAATTCACTCTCCAAACAGCATTGAAGAAACGGTTACTCTAGCGTTCTCATCCATGTCTTCCTTGACTTCTTCATATACCTCTTCTGCTAGCTTTCTGTGCTTCTTCTTCCCTGATATGACCAATTCTCCATACAGGTACACTCCCATTGCCTGGTCCTCAATTAAAAATCTTCTCACATCATGCAAGTCGGGAAAATTATTTAATATTACCAATTCACACCATCTATGGCGAACATCAGCATTCTGAGCTACAATGTCATAGTGCTCATATATCTGTAGTAAGGCCTTGCAAGAAAAACTTTTCAGTTCTAAAATATATTCTAAGAGCAAGACAATCTGGTCTGGAAAAGAGAACTTTTCAAGATTGATCTTCATCTTTTTAACCCTTGGATTTTGTCTACTACTTTTGTCAACATGAAGCCAATAATTAAAATGTGACTTCACTGCAGACACTAAGTGATTAGATATATTACCATATTTTTCAGTAATATAAGGATTGAGTCCAGGATGATTGAGCCAATCTTCATACAGACCAATGCGGGTCATCCCTTTTTCTGCAGCCTCCGGGTAAGCACTAATGAAAAAGTCTATTATCTGTTCTGATAATACCAACTGTCCATGATAAAATGTTACATAATCTTTTATCATTGAATCAAAAGTTTTCCGTCCTATTATTTTGCTCATGTACTTCAGTAGGAAATATCCCTTCAGATAATGCACTTGTAAAAATGTTTTTTCTGGATTTCTTCCATCTTTGACATAACCAATGCCACTATCATCTACTAAAGCCTCACCCTGCATAGGTCTCAGCTTCTGCAAATCTACACTTGAATTTTCAAGTTCACTTGTCAGAGTTCTGTATCGTATATGTGCCCTAAGATCTGAAAGTTCCTCAAGGTATTTCATTTTCATTGCTTTATGCTCCAATGACGATAGCAATGTAACTGAACTGCAGGTCACAACTTTATCTTTAACTGCATCACAACTAACATCACTCCCATCACAAAATCCATTTTTCCCATCAACACCTTCATCTTGCCAAATTTCTACTGGGTTATCTTTGCTAGTAGTTTCAGGGATGCTTTGCTGTTTTGTCTTGTATACAGCATCCTCTATCAAAGTAGCTTGTGCATAGATAGAGTCTTCCATATAGGTAGCAAAACCTTCACTAATCCATTCTTCTGTCCAGTCTTGTGCACCAATATTGATCCCAAACCATGCATGGCTGTGGAAAAAATATATATAAATTAATGTGTCTGCAAATCATAATAAGAAAAAAATATGATGGAATCGCTTGTAAACCATTTCTCTATTTTTCTGAGGAAAGGCTGAAAGTCTATTTTTTTCTGTATTTTTTCTCTTACCTGCATTATAGCAAATGGATGTATATTCCCTCTTAAGCTTCTTATCATGAGATATTTAGGACAGTAGCCAAAAGCCACTAACATACATCAAATATTTAAGCATAGTATGCCATAAAAAACAAATTGTAAACAATTGCTTTACATTTTTTAATGCAAGCAATTAAGTATTGAAGTAAAGACATGCTGCTGAGAGCAAACACCTACCTTATTTCATGTGCGAGACGAATATAGGCGGCAGGATCATCCAAGACCATTGATGGTGACAAGAAGATTAAGTTTGGAGAAGCTAAACCCAAGCTTGCAAAACACTTTGGCACCAGAACAACTTCTAGCCTGGGACATGGGTATCTGCCTAGAAGGTCACAAGATGCTTGCAGGGCAAAAGGTAGAAATGATGCAACTGACTTTATTGCTTCAGATGAAGATGGAGGATAAACCACAGATAGAGCAGTTTCACTACCCCAGTATTTGGACTGGATGTGACAAGGGTATTCATAGTGCTTACATGGATGAGTTTCTTTGGTCATTTTATTATTCATGGATGACCCACATGGCTTATTCACAGGTTTTACCACTGGGAGAATATCTACTGCCCATTTGCCAATGGCAATAGCTATAGTTGCAATAGGCAAGACCATTGTTGTATGATAATAAAAACAAACTGAAGGTATAATTTCTTTTGCCATGTCTTGTCTGCTAATTGTAGATCCCTGGCATGGTTCTTGTGTATCACAATTTTTAAAATCGGAGTGATTCATGAGCCAACAGTCTTTGTAATCCTCAATACAGCCAATAAATTTCACTGGTCTTTCATCCCCTGTCATTGATAGATAATACCCTTTTGGCACTGTGAACCAAGCTTGCCAGGTAGCCATGGCTGACGGAGGATCTTGACATGGGAGTAATGAACGGTTATTGATGGTGGCAGCTGGAGTAAACACACATGGATTGCCATCTTGGTCATTCCTCCAAAGCAGTGACTGTCCTTGTGGCGATGTTTCATATTTGATGCATATAACTCTGGGAAAATCAGCAACTTTCTGTACATTTCTTTTCCATATATTAATAGACCATGGTTCCACAGTGTACTGAAGGGGTACTTGCTCTTTGCCTGACCAAATATTTAGGGCAAAACTGCATTTTCTAATGAATGCTGGATGTAAGTACTGTGAAACTTCAGTTTTATTGCAAATTACTTCACTTACAGATTTTACCTTAATATCACAACAATCTAGCACAACCTTAAAATCATTTTGTGTTTCTGATTGAGTACCAACTTCATGATTTACCAATAAATCTTCTGAATCTCCTTTCTCTGCTTGCCCTAATATGTTCTGGCCTTCATGTACATTCTCTACTCCACATGCACTTTGACTTAATGCACATGCCTTTTCTAGGTTACTTTGGCCACAAAGAATACCTGAATTCCCTGAATCAGCCAGAGTATCCTTTTCATATAGATTTCTCTCAGTATTGTTAGAACCTTCATAAAAACTTTTAGTTGTGCTAGCTTTGTCTGCTTCATTAAAACCACTAGAAGTCCTTGCAAATGTTGTGTTGCTGTTACTGTCATCAAAAATTTCTTTACCTTGTAAATTTAAGGCAGCTTCACTGACAACCTTCTTTTTGTCTGAACAGAAACACTCACGCACGCAGCAATTACCATTTTTCTCACACAATGTTGCAGGCTCTAAGAAGATAAACACAATGCCTTCAATTATCTGACTAAATACACTTGTCTTCAGATGTAAGAGATAGTGTCGTGCCCTTATGTCCTTTATATTTGATAGCAAAGGCAGGTCCTTGTCACCCATTTTGTTTAATACTAATGCAAGATTTCCTTATTTACTTTATATGTTTCCACAAGGTCTTGCTTATCCTCCATATATTATAATGTTCTGCTTCCAGGCATCAAACAGTTCAAATGGAGACCTGTAAAATGAGGCATGAAATTATCATGACAGTTTTTACCTTAATCTTAAAATGTACAGAGGCCAGTCACAGTGAATGGCAAACAACTGAGAACAGATTGCATCACAGGTAGTGAGTTTTGTAAATGTATGCATTTTTCTACAATTTCCTAATATACTTTTTTGTAATTTCAAATCTCAGCTTATTCAGCTGACAAACTAATCAATAACAACACCCAGTAATGTATCTAAAACCTTCTATCAAATTTTTAAGAGTTAGTACAATACATTCTTACCTTTTCATTCCTTCCCTCCTTCACTGCTGCCAATATGAATCAGCCATGGCGTGGGATTTCACAACATCTGAAGATAATCATTATAGCAACTGCAAGAAAAAGTTTAAGAGTTTATATTGTATTTATAACACAGTGTATAGATGAAATGTAATTCAGACAGAAAATTACATGAAGAGATCCAGATCTTAGTGTCAGCTATACAGGAGATTAATTCACACTTCATAATAGTTATAACTAAATCATTGAAACTAACAGTGCTGCAAATTAATATTTTCTTTTGAAGAATCAATAGAGAAAGATTTCAAAGTATTATTAATAATACATAATAACATACATAGATAATAAGTTCTATATACTTCTTTTATGCATTAGATGCACCTTTCATTTGATACTGGCTTCATGTTTTATCAAAATAAAAACTACATGATATAACAACATAAGTTATTGCATTTATGACTGATACTAAAAACATTGCAGCTACTATATATCTGTGTATAACTGCTTGTTGTCAATTGGAGTCTAAGTTTCGTTTTAACAAATTTAAAGTGAGATTTTTTCTGGCCTTTGCAAGAGCACCGATAGGCAATGTGATCGCATGATGCCGCGTGATCATATGTTATATTAGTGGTCTATCAAAAAAATAAGTAAATAAGAATGATTTCTGACAAAATTAAGTTCATACTCATCATAAGCACACAAAAATCTACAAAAATAATATAGACAGTTTCAATATCTACTAATGCGCACTGGGAACTACGAAAAATAATATTCAAAACCGAATCTCTCAGCCCATGCGACGATAGTTTTCACTTAAAATACACATAAAACACACCATTTATCCCTCCATTCGTATTATATCATCAATTAATATTAACATCAATCGATTTAATCTGAAAGAAGACCACAGACTCTGAAACAACTCCCGTTTGTTTACGTCCTCGCCTTCCTTGTTTTTGTTTTTGTTTACACGCGTCGCAATCAGCTGATCGGCGTGGGAATCAGCTGATCGAGCGTCACTCTCGGCGTCGCTCGGCCGCAGAGTGTGAACCATGGCTTTGTTTTCGCTTTAATTAATTATTTTTTCTTCTGGATGATGGAGGTTTTGGCCAGAAAAGAGGGCGACGGAGAACTGCTGGAGACGCTGTGTAGGCTATGCGGCACGAGTGACTGCGGGCGGATGTTGCATTTGGGCGATACGTACTCTATGGTGGGAGCGAGCGACGTCATTTTCAACTTGTTAGACAGCATATCAGTTATACTAAAGCTGCAGGTATGTGGTCCATTTATAATGTGAGTGTATACGATAGTGCAGATAGGTTTGGTATTGGGGAAATGTTGTTTACTATAAGTAGCCCGGGGTGTGATCGGTATTTGCATCCTTCCACTGTCTTGCCATGGAAGCGTAACAGCTTAGCAGGGTGCTGAAGAATCAACATTAAAATTAAGGAGGATGCCTCTGCTTACTTGAATGACCTTTGAAGTTTGAAAGTTTGCTTGTAAATCCCCCCCCCCTCCCCACTCATTTTCTCTCTTTCTTTCCCTCTTGCCTTATTTCTCTCCCTCTCCTCTCCCTCTCTCTCTCACTGTCATCCTTTCCGCTCGCTACACCCCTCTCCCATTCCACTCTCCCTCTCTCTCATTTTTATGTGTACAGAGATATTAAATAGATACAAAATTTGTTTCATTTCAGGATGAGGATGAAGCACTGATGTCAAAACATGTATGCTTATCATGTTTTAACATAGCAGTTGATGTCCAGGCTTTCATAGATTCCAGTTTAAATTTTCAAAAGACAACAATAAGACAGATACTTCCAGAACATAAGTTGGTGGAGACACAAGATATTACTCTGGTTCAAGCACCTTTTGGAAGTCTACGCAAGGAGTCTGAGCTTGTTGAGCACCATATTAATGATGATAGTAAAGTTGATGAACCAATATTGAAGTCTCAAGATCTGTTACAGAATGGCAGTTTTTTAGAAACAAGCAATGTCTTACTGAAATCTAAACTTACCACACCAGGTGGGGAGGAAGATACCGCCAAAGGAAGTCTTGCAAGTGATTTTCAAAAATCAGATGATTGTGTTAATGCTGATGTGTCGCAGAATAATGTAAAAGTTACCATAAATTCCTCTGAGTTAGGTGTTATTGATCAACTTCCCAAGGATGAAATCCCTTCCGTCCAAACTGAATGTATGCCAGAAGTACCATATATCTCCACAGAATTTCAGACTGATCCAAATGTCAAGAGTGATGTAAAGTTTGCAGATGAAGGGGACAGGGTTTTTAACTGTCCTAAAGAAGATACCTGTGACAAGGAACATTCTTCCTTAGTTTCTCAGAGCCAAAGCCCTAATAGTACCAACTCAAGTACAAATAATAAGAGTAAGAAAGCAAAGGTAGCTGTAGATAGACAAGAAAAAGGAAAAGAAAGTAGCAAGAAATGCCCAGTATGTTCCAAAAGTTTTCCAAGACAGAGTCAACTGAAGAGCCACCTTGTAAGTCACAGCGGAACCAGGCCATTCGAGTGCAAGATTTGTCACACGAAATTTAAATATCGGCGGAACCTCGTTGAACATTCCAGCATACATAATGAAATTCCATCCTTCATCTGCTCTAAATGTGGCTTAACATTTAAACAAAGAAGCAAGTAAGGGGAAAAAAATTAAATTAGTTATGTTTTGTATTAATAGTTTGAGTTTGATTGATATTTTGAAAATACTAATATTTTTAGCCATGTGTACTTGTTTGTAAATGTTACTTTATCACTAACACTATTGTCTTTTTTTAGTTTACTTAAACATGAGAGGATTCATCGAGAGAAAGACAAACACTGTTACCACTGTCCACACTGTAACAACCAGTACACTCAGTCTTCTCATCTGAGAACACACATCAGGAATGTTCATGAAAGTATGTAACAGTATTTTACTTCATTTAGTAGTAAGGGTGTTTTATAGTTAGATATGAAAGTATATGAATATAAACATTATATATATAATAAGTGTGTGTGTGTGTGTGTGTGTGTATATGTATATATGTATATATGTGTGTGTGTGTGTGTGTGTGTATATATATATATATATATATATATATATATATATATATATATATATATATATATATATATATATATATATGTTAGCACATAAGTACATGAATGAATATGAATAAAAAGACCATATAAGAATATACAGTATATGGCAAAAATTTGATAATTTTTACATTCCTTTCAGATAACAAGGGACACAAATGCGATGTCTGTGATGCTGTAGTTCTCTGCCAGTCATCTCTGAGACGGCATATGGCAACTGTCCATGCTAATTCAGCCAAGTTTGTCTGTCCGCACTGTAATAGAGGCTTTAATAACAATCAGAATTACCAAGGTATCCTATTTTCAGATATTACTTTTCCTCTAACTTTCTGTTTGCTAGCTTAGTATTATTGGTTAGTTATAGTAAAGAAGATGCATAGATTCTTGCATATACATAAATGTTTCAGCATGTGAACAAAGATATATCTATATCACCACACAGTGCTCTTAGGCCTACATGTAGATTCTTGTATGCTGGCATAAATACAGTTCTGAGTTCAAGCACATGTATGGATACATTTGATATATTACAAGTGTTTCATTATATAGACACATGTAGATCTGCAAACACTAGTTCTGATATTTTTTTTATATATGCTATAAATATAATCATTATTATGCACTCAATAAAATATAAATTTAAATCTGCAAAACACATACGAAACAATTTTATAATTTCCTCTTCCCCCTCAAAATGAAGGTCACCTCAGGCGGCATTCTGGTGAGCGTCCTTACAGTTGCTCCACGTGTGCCAAGACATTCACCACCACGAAGGCTCTAAGTCGGCATCGGTTGATTCATCAGGGGATTAAGAGCCATAAGGTCAGGAGTGCAATTAGTATGCTTATACTTGCAATTTTTCTTGATATCAGTTTTGCATTCTTTGCATCTTATTCATATTCTGTAATATATCTTACAGGTTTTTTCTTTTCTCTTCTTTTCTTCAGTGTATCCACTGCAGTAAAGCATTTTATGAATTATGTGACTTAAAGAAGCATGCCAAGCGTCACCTGAAACGTGTGAAAAAATCGAACAGAAGTCTAGCTGCTAATAAAACTGGAGAGAATGCTAGTAACTCTACGACTCAGGTGGTGACTGGTATGAATTCACTTAACTTGATGGTCCTCACAGAGTCTCTGCTCTTTAGTGAGCCCCAGCCACTGCTTGAAACATCAGCGTCTAGAGTAACAGAGGTAACCTTTATCACTGATTTGACATTTAGTTTACAAAGAATTATGAAATGTTGTTGGAAGATTAGTAATGATATATTAGCTTATATATTTAATTGAACCATTGCAGTACTTTATGTATTAAATCTGCTTTGCAGATACTTCTGCCAGATGGGAAATTGGGGGCACCTAAAGAAGTTACAGCAGAACCACTCTTGGGTTCAGAGGTTATAGAAGCTGATCCACCAAATTTGCAGCAGTCGTCAATGGAATTGTCTAAAATTTCAAACATGCTACAGCCAGGAGAGGAAGTTCTGACACCATCACCATTACTACCTGCTACACCAGTCTTATCTGCAGAAAATGTAGAAGCCATCTCCGTGCTGGCCGACACAGCTGTCCTGCAACCACCGGAAACGAAGACCGTTATTACCACACCCATTGACCCTTCCAGAGTCTTGCAGCCGACAGACATAGGTGTTGAGGAGGAACTCCCTAGACCTGAAAATAGAAATGTAAGTCTAGAAGTGCAGGAGGCATCCCAGTGTAGTTCTAGTACTGATGGCCCCACTATGGTTGTGCTTTCATCTGTAGGTGCTTCTTCTGAGTACTTACCTGTTGCTGAACAAGAAACTCACACAGGGAATTCTGACATTGATGGGGCCAGACATCAACAAGGTGAGAGGATCCTTAGCCATGCTACTTGGTAATTTGATTATTTATTTTGTGTATTAGGATACTATGTGGTTTGGAGAAGTGGTGATAGGAAATATTTATTTGCAGTGTTTTGATGTTTTTTGTTTTTTCATTTCCAAAACTTATTTCAATCTTACCTAAATAACTGACATTCACTGAAATATTTAGTTTACTATAACCTCTATATTTACTACTAAAAATTCAATTTACTCTGAGCTCTATTAAAAGCTTTATATTAAATATCAATATTCTCTTAATCTCTTTCTGCTCACAGTATCATAGTGACTGAGCACTCAAATACCTTCTATATTTTTTCTCAGTATAAGAATACATTTTTAAAGAAATATACCAAGAAAGCATGAAAAGACAAATTTTATTGCAGTTGCAATTCAAAACCAGACTTCAGAACATAAGGGATACTGAAAGAAAAAAAAATCTATAGTTTAACAAAAAACGTTATGGATTTTTTGTTACTTATTTATGTACCTTGTCTCTCCTTATTCACAGATTAAGGGGTTGACAAGTTGTGATAAACCTTGTATATGAGTTATTCCCATTTATAAGGTTATTCCTATGGGGAAAAATGCACTTTTTTTCATGATGCAAGGTAGTAATTTTGAGTGTGAAAAAGAGCCAATTAGAAACAAAAATGGTACTTAAGATTATATTACAAGATTGGATACTATATGTAATACAATTTGTGCAATAGAAACTAAAACACCCTAATAAGTATAAAAAAATATATATATATATATAAACTGTGATTTAAGGAAACCATTTCTAGTCAATAAATGTGAATAGTCAGTCAGTGCTCATATAATATATAGTATTAAGAATAAGCAATATATATTTTTTCTCTTCTTTTCCCCATTATGCCTTCATATATGAAATATAAACTGAGATTTAAAAACATCTATTAATATGATTTTTTTTTCAAATGTATGTTGCAATTATATAGTATATACAATGCTGGCAATGTATTTATGTATACATGGAATCTCTTCTTAAACAGTAATGAATTATGAAATTGTAACTGCTTTTCTGATGTTATCATATCAAATATTAACTACTAGTCATTGCCTTGGAAGCAAGGAAGTCATATAAATGTGTGCTTAATAGATGTAAGTATACATACATCTGTTGTAAAATTGTTCCTTTTTCGGAATATATGTGTTCATTCCAGTATGTTATAGGTTACATTATTTGGGAAAATAGATGTACAAATGTTGTTGTTCCATAGCTACACATGTGTGATCAATGAAATCAAATTGTTTAAGAATGTGATCTTTATAAAGGTGCAATATCATTCTAGTCACTTTCAGACCAGCAGAACAGTCATTGTCAATGACAATTTCTCATTTCTGTTTTTTGTATGTTTGCATTTATATGTGTTACTGTGCAATGTTCATATAGGTTTTAATGATTGTCATATATGTATGTGTGTCTTAAAAGTACATAAAATACGTACACAGGGTTCGATTTAGTTGCCAAGGGGCTTGCAAATATTTCAGGAAAAAATGAGGAAATATGTACCTTAGACTGGTAGTAACTGGAACAAATATTCAGTTTGACTCATCCTCTGTACTCGTAAAAATAATATATGAGAAATACTATAACATGTTTTGTCATCTCTTTGTAAGATGAGGCAGGCATAAAAAATGAAGACTATAAAAGGAGTTAGTTTGCAAATAGTGAAGTATTATAATCATAGAAAAGGAGAGGAAAGAATTTAACCCATTGCTGCCGGGGAAAATGCTGTGCCTATTTTCTATACTTTTTTGTTAAATGTCTGCCCATAGATGGCTCTGTTAGCACCTGATTTGAAATGGCGGGAAAAACGTGTTTTTCACTAGTGCCATGAATACCGGTGGTGTTATTTTTATTATAAACATTATAATTTTGATAATGTTTTTTAACATTAGTAACAGCAAAATAAGATAACGTAAAATATTTCGTAAATCAAAGAAAAGGGTGAACGGGCGAGACAGGCGGTACTCGTAACTGGCTCATTGGTGATTTAGTACAAGTGTAGCCATCTATGTGTGAAAACAATCTAACAAGTAATCTCACAGTGGGCATGGCATGGCATGCCCATCAGGAATGGGTTAATATAAATCATTCTGGATAAAATTAGTTCTTGACACCAAAGGCTAACAGCAAAACTGATATTTATTAATTTTTACCCAATATAAAACATAGATTAATGTTTAATATGTTTTAGGAAGATATGTGATGATCGTATACAAGTGTGCGTATTCATGGATTGTCTGATTGTCTCATGGCTATTGTTGTGAGCTTATTCATTCTTAATAATGAATGGATCCTTCAGTCTGTGAACAAAACATTCCTATAAAAAAAACAAAGTGCAAAACTTATTTTTAATCTATTGATAGCTGAAACGGTGTACTTTATTTATTGTAAACTTCTTAATTATTAAATAAAATATGTTTGTATATAGAGTTAGTTTTGGAACCTGTTTTGTATTAACTATCCATTCTGATTGCATGCATTAGAATCAAATTTTATAAAGTATTACTGTTAGTGGCAAATGAAAAATGACATCCCAAGAGTATTATTTCTGAAGATCTTAATCCATCAATTGGTACTTTCTTGCTTAACCCAATGGTGCCAGGGAAAATTAACAAAAAATGGGGAAAATATTGTGCCCACTTTCTATGTTTTTCGTGAAATGTCTGCCAATAGATGGCTCTGCTAGCGCCTGATTTAAATGGCGGGAAAAACGTATTTTTCACTAGTGCTATGAAAATCGATGGTGTTATTTTAATCATAAACATTATAATTTTTAAAAAAAATTTTAACATTAGTAACAGCAAAATAAGATTACGTAAAATATTTTGTAAATCAAAGAAACGGATAAACGGGCGAGACGGGCGGTGCTCGTAACTGGCTCATTGGGGAGTTAGTACAAGTGTTGCCATCTATGCGTAAAAACAATCAAACAAGTACTCACTGTGGGCATAGCACGTACGTACACGTCATACCCGGCACCAAGGGGTTAAGGACTACATAGAGGGTTGGCTTAATGAAGCAGACCCCATCATTAAATTTGTTTTTTCAAGTAGTACAAAATAATCTTTAAGGGCAGTCATAATATATGAAATCTAATTTACAGGCTGGCATCCCTGTGGTTTTTGAGCATGACAACAAAAGACACTTTGCAATATACTCTTACATTAGCATCAAGTACTATTGGCGACTGGAATGTGTCATTTTAGCCTTGAGGAAGATTATTAATCAATAATAATTTCTTTATAACTAATAATAATGTTAATAATAATACCCATTTTTTTGGTACACTACACAATGCAACAAACAACTACTCTTATGCTGTTTACTCAAATTCTTGTACAAAGTATTTACTTCCATGAAAAATAAGTAAGTAAAAATGATGATGATGATAACGATGAGGAGGAGGAGGAGGAGGAGGAGGAGGAGGAGGAGGAGGAGGAGGAGGAGGAGGAGGAGGATGGTGATGGTGATGGTGATGGTGATGATGAGGACGACGACGATGATGACGGTGATGATGAGAACAAAACAATACAAATAATAGAAATCCAAGATTGAACAACTATTTGCTTTGTTATATTCTTTTAAACATAACTTTGCTTCATCAACAGCTGCAAGGTTTCAGTGCTGCTGTTCCATAAACATTAGATGCATTCCTATCCAAATAAATTAAATGCACCCTAAATACCCTTGTAATACTTGAGCACTACTGCAGGCCAAAGTGCCACATTCTCTGAAGGGTATATGGCCAGTACTTGAAAGTTTAAAGCCTTGCAATGTGCACAGGCTTGTTGGTCCAGAAGGGTATTTGGAGAGTAACTTATAAATTGGTAGCATTCGCCATCTTTCCACCCACGGCTTATGCTTATTGACTAAAGTTGAGATGGAAAAAAAAATATATATTTTGAAAGAATAAAGTGACCCATGTTTTTACAAGCTTTATTATACCTTCAGCTATATATATATATATATATATATATATATATATATATATATATATATATATATATATATATATATATATATATATATATATATATATATGTATATATATATATATATTCTGATTATAGTGTTTTACATAAGCTTTTTCTCTGATCTGTAAATAAACTAATAGTCTGTAACAGAGATGGAGGGGTTCGTGGAGGTGTTGATCTTATTGTCTTTAAAATCACATCCTCTGTCACACACGGAACAACACTGTCCTCCCTCTGTAAATTTTCACTTTCTCTCTCTTTCTCCGTTCGTTCCATGTCAGCCAGAGCCACATATGCTGCTTCTTGGTAGATGCCTGTAATCTGTTAGAGAAAGAATCTTCTATTATATTTCTAAATTTAAAAACTACAAAAAAATAAAGGGGGTAAAAGATTGTGTAGTGTAGTATTGAGAATGACATGCAACACTAAACAAGTCTACCTCCCTTACTAAACTGTGATAATGAAAACTTTCTTTTTCCTTTGTATCTCTTCAGAATTTTCCAAATTACCCTGAACTGTAAAATGAAGAGCCACAAACCATATGGTAAGGAGAAAATAAACCCAAGTAACTACTTCAAAGAGAAAATAGCCTTCTGTACCTTACACCACTAAGAATACTCAGTGCTCTGTTTTATATTCTACATTCAAGATGGCAACATTTTCAAGTAAAATATAAGGAGGACAAGGATTAATACCTTCCAGATATGTAAATAATAACAGTTATTACTGCAAGAACTCCGTAAATAGAAGAATCCTTAATAGTACATCTAATATTTCAACTGTACAGTTCCAATAATTTTAAATAGGATCAAACAAGCTTTTACATTTTACGGTATTTTATAGTATATCACTGATCTATTCATATTTTTTCCTCTATTAAATTACTTCGAAAATCACAGAGATATAATGTGTAGCTTAAAAAACACAAGAATACTAGTCATTTTCATCATCAACCACTCCAGTAAGGTTAGTTGGAGCTCACATTCACTCCTTCACATTCACTTATCTTTTACCTCAGCTCCTGAGTGTCCAGCAGATGCATCACTTAGCTTTGCAACATCTATTTCCTCCTTGACTGAGACACCTGTTAATATGCCTTTCCAAATATCACATCGACTAGGGAAATCAGGCAAATCAACATGAACAACTTGCTCCAAACACCCTGGCTGAAGTAAGGCCTAGAGAAGACAATCAAAAAAAGCATTATGTATATTTGTAAATACATAATATGTAAATGCTTTCTTTTGAGAGAATAACATTTTACTTCTTATCTGTAATATAATCAGTACTTTCATTTATAGTCTCGCCAATTTATTCCAGCTTAAGACTGTATAGCAATAAAGTTATTTACCTCATCAACTGCTGCTGGTCGATTGGTAGCTCCTATAATCCAAATGTTTCCCTTATATTTTGTGCCGGACACTAACGACAGCAACTCTGATACAAGCAAACTGCCACCAGAACGATCACCACACAAGCTGTCAATTTCGTCCATGAATATGATTGATGGCGCTGCCTGCTGTGCTCGAACAAACACTTTGCTCAAAGACTTCTCTGTTTCTCCAACATACTTTGACAGAAGGTTTGAGCACTAAAAAAAGAAATAAAGGATGTGTCATGACACAGCAGAATGAGAAAATATTTGCATTCTAAAGGTACATCAATCCTCCTAACCTTCAATCAAAATGCACAAATAATTTTACAATTATCCATCAAAACTGTAACAAACCTTGAGAGGAAAGAAGCTAAAGTTGGTCTCATTCACAATGGCTCGCACAAACATGGTCTTGGAGCACCCAGGAGGCCCGTACAGAAGAAGGCCTTTTAAAGGGTGTTCATCCGGACTGTCTTGATGTTGGTGAATCATTTTCTGAAAATTAATAACTTATTTATTACCCAAAGTGAAGGATGAATATACACTTAATTATGTATTACCCAAACGGAAGTATAAACATACATTTTAGTTTTGCTTATGTGTGACAAAAAGAACATTACCTGTAATTTTGATTTTAGTGCCTGATAACCCCAGATGTCATCCCATTTTACCTGAAAATTCAATAATTATCATATCAATAAGATATTCTAGTTGTCCTGACTTCAATAACTACAGACAAGTAAAAAGAAGTAGCTGTAAAGGAATGGCTCACTCTTTATTAGTAGGCTTCATTTTAAGGAAAGTCAACTTTGTGACAGCAACAGGGTAGAAAGGTCTCCATCCTCTGGAACTACATGCAATTTATGGAGCACTGTAGTATACCTTGGCTTTTAAAAATTATAAATAAATATATAAATAAATAATATATAAAGAAGCCTATTTGCAAATATCAAGATAATCTTCCTACTTGAGTAGATGAATCTTAAACTAAAAAGCCATAATGTAAGCCTAGTTAGCCTTACATTACATTTTAATCTCCCAGCTACAGGAAAAGAATACATCAACCACCAAGGTAACTTTTTTGTTCATGAACAGGTATTTATACAGTTACAATTAATCCATTTATTGCCAGTAACAAAAACAGAATACATACCACAGATATTGCTGTGTAGTTTTGTCTCATCATGGTTGGTACAACAGCTTTTAAACCCTCACTTAAGTCTTCTTGACAAAGACTCAACTCTACCCCTTGCTCTCTCAAGTCTGTATTCTGTAATATTTTTTTCAGAAGCAGACATTAACCATATATTAGTATACTGTTTGTTTAAAAACTAGCTGTTACAGATATTTACTATCATTTGCACTATAATTGATAATCAAATCTGTAGCAAATTAGATAACTATAATCTTCATTCAATAATCAATATATCACTATACTTCTATGGGACTCAAAAATTGATAGTAGTAAGACTTCAAAGAGATGGACTCGGGCAGAACTATAAACATGTTGGTGTTATTCAGATATCCTTCAAAATTATCTCAAATTCCATAACCAGGTCAAAAAAGCTTACTTTCTGAGAATTTTGAGCATGAGAAAAATCACTAAAGAGTTAACAAAATCAAACCTTTACACTAATGACTCTTTCATCTGTGTATATATACCTGTTAAAAAAATTGACTGAAACTGATATCCAGGCTGCATTTTCACAGGCAGATGTTGCCTCATATGAAATAATAAATAATGGTGAGTTCTTGGAGTGATTACACAAGTCCTCCTTCCTTGTTGAAACAGGCAGTAACAGAGACTGAGGAATCTTGCCAAAGAAATAATTTTCTTCCCTATCACCATTTCTTAATTTTCCAAACTATACCAAAAGAAATTACCCAGAACATCATGTAAACACTTTCTTATTTGAAATTATCCCTCACCCTATCTTTGGAAGTATAAAAAATCTTTAATTGCACCTTCGCTAAAATTACCTTTGCTATTCTTTCAGTAGTGTGTAACCAGGAACTTTTTATCAAAACATCCAGGTCAGCTCCAGAAAACCCATATGCCTGTTTTGCTATATCAAGTATTTCTCTTTGCTGTAGTCTATGGCTCTGAGAGGACAGCAGTTTCTGGAGAATGAAGGCCCTTTGGTGAGCATCTGGAAGTGGCACAAGCAATTGCCTGTCTAATCTTCCCGGACTCTGTAACTTTGGTGCAACTGCATCTGGGCGACTTGTGGCACCTATCAGCAAGACAGGTTTAGAGCTATCCTGGAAAGTAAAAATCATCATAAAGATAAAAAATATATATATCTGTAATATTTGCAAAAATGGTTAAAATTTTTGTAACTTTATGAATACAATTAAGGAGAAGCACAGTGATCCAGAAATATGTTATCATGATCAATCAATCAATCAATGGGGGATAACACTGACTTCCATCAACAGGGGTCTCTCATGGAAAGCCTCCAGGCAGGCCCTCAGTCATCCAAAGGGAAATGAGCTTGGTACCCATATAGCCTGAGCCCTGATGCTCTTACCTGCACTATGTGGATGCCGCGGATGACAGCAGCCAATATGTCATTCCCGCTGACTGATTTCTGATCCCCAGCAGGACACAGACTGTCCACTTCATCCATAAATAAGACTGATGGGGAACTGACAAGAAAAGAAAACACATTTCAAAATTAATCTGCTTAACTATCTCACCTCTTTTGTAACAGTCTATGAAAAAAATGTTCAGAACTACCATATGCAAGTTAAATATATCACCATAATAACATACTAATATTTTAATATAATAATATAATAGTTTACAATATTGTGAATTCCCAAAAACTTGTAAATAATGGAAAATTTACGGAAAAACACACAAAGCATGAAACCCATTCAATTCAAAATAAAGCAATTATTCACCAATAAATTCTCTTGCATTTCCTTAAAAATACTGGTCTAAATCAATAATTATAAAAGGACTCTACCTGTCACATGCAAATCTAAACTTCTGATAAACCTCTTCACTGCCACTTGCTGAAGACTTTGTCACATCCGCTGAGGTTAGAGAAATCACAGGAACATTCATCTCAGCTGCCGCCTGATTCACCATGAGGGTCTTACCTGTACCTGGGGGACCGTGGAGCAATACCCCAGTCCAGCCACCCAGGAGAGGATTACCTGGAAGGGGATTAAAAACACTTTCAGGACACATCCAACATTTTGTACTTATACTGTAAATTACTTCACTCATAATTTAAACTACAATAATGTCTATAACAAACACTCTGAATGTTTATGACTTAAATTCTTCTGAATATTTGATTTAGAGAGGTTTGGGATGCACAGCATTTCAAAGTTTTATGCAACGAAGCCACATGGACAAAAACATTTTCTGTGCTGCAGTTTCTCAATAACTTTGAAAATCCATAATCTCTCATCTACTTTATGCTGAGTAGAAAGATTTGATAATTCATAGTCTATCGGATTTTAAAAAATGTTTCCATATACCAATAATATATTCATTATCAATGACCTATGAAAGGTAAGAAACAAACAAAAAACTATTTCTTTCCAAAAGTAGTACACAGCCATTTTCATTCTAAGAGCCTCGTACTCTTCCTAGGTTAATCATTCAAGAATTCTTAAATACTTCTAACAATATAAATCCTCTGACACTTACCCATTGTTCCCATATCCCTGAATTTATTTTCCATGATCTTCAGAAGCATTTCATAAGCATGGTTCTTGTAATAAACATTTTCATTATAGTCTTTTTCTTCTTCACCTTGACTTTTGGTATTAGCTTCATCTGCACTTTGTATAGTGATTTTTGTATCTCTTCCAACTCTGATCCAGTGCTTTTGCAAACTAGGATCTGCTTCTCTCCACTGCTTGATTCCCTCGTCTGATTCTCCAGATGTAAGGATTTTCTCCCTCATCCTCGCTGCAAGCAAGGACTTGTGCAGGGTTGCGTTTGATTTTTTATTGGGTGTTGAAGTGACAATGCCAGCATCGAGATCCTTGGACTCTTCAACAGAATTGCCTTCGTGATACTCATCAATGGTGACAAAACCAGCACCTGTGTCGTCGCTTGAAAGTCGGAGTTTTGATAAATCAGAAGCT